GGCACGGGCAGGCCGGCGAGGTCTGCTGCGCTGCCGTCTGCGAGCCCCAACGCCCCGCAGCCTCGGCTTTGCTCGGCTCAGGCGTGGTTAAGACGCCGTCGTTTCTGCAAAACAACCTCCACCGCAGCGTGCTCTCCCGTGTATTGCCAAGCGCCGTACATTAAGGGCGAGGTTTTCAAAAGCATTCACACCGGGCCTCCCCTCCGCTCCTGTAGGAGGGAAAGGTTCAGCTCCCGTTGACTTCAAAGGCAGCAGCGCTGGCTGCTTTTGAAAAATCCCACCTAAAATCAAGCTATTGTCAAAACAAAGTGCAGGCTGTGATGTGGTATTCCTGCCTTTTACCTGCTCCTTCATTTGCTCGCTGATTCACAGCTGCCAGTGACTCGCAGTCATTAATCTGAATAAGCAGGGCTCTCCCGTATGCGTAACAACCTGCCCTTTGCACAGCGAGGAGATTTGCATTTCTACCTGTCGCACCTTTTCTCTGAGGGTAGCCAAGCGTTTTTAAGGCAATCACTCCTCGGAGCGCCTTCGCGGAGCAGGGTAAGGCTTGGACGTCTCCCCGCAGTGGAGGAAATTAAACTTGAGAGTGGACAGCGATGGGTCCACCATCACACAAAGCCTGTGGGGTACCGGGATTTGAAAGCAGATCTCCAGAATGTCCTAGCCTTAAAAATGCAAAAGCTTCTTTTCAGCTCCCTGTCACTTTGCTGAATTTCTACCATTCAGGCTGCAATTTTGCCTCCTACTTCCACCAATCTCTTTACGAAAAGTACCTATATCCCCACGGGCCAATCACTTCCAAAAAGCAAAGCTAATGAACCTGAGTAATTGCCTCTGTGTTATATTTCTATAACCGTTTCTCGGCAAAGGTGCTATTGAGCACGGCAAAGCCATCTGTGTGAGCTACTGCAACTGCATGGCAAAGGCAGCGCCATGGGGCGGCCTTTGTTCCAAAACGGGTATTTCTGTGCTTAAAAACCTGCAGGCTGACATTTGAAGGAACCAGGATATTATTTTCCCATTTCACCAGCTTAACGTCACTGCAGGAGCTGGAAGCCAGAGTTTGCTACGCAGGACACTTGCGTCGTATGGAGGTATAAAATAGAGTAAATCTAGCTGAACTGAAAGAAAGTTGTGGGACTCTTGAGTCTAATTCCCTGTCTTGCACTCCTCACCCCACAAGAAGTCATCCATAAACATGTAAGCCACCAGGCTAATTCTGGAATCAGCCTCCCATACATAAACCTGTTTTGACTGCAGTTAACTTTGTGATGACATCCCAGCTACCAAATTTAGGCTGCATCCATTTAAAACAAGGGAAATAATAGAGAATAGAGGCCACAAGACTTTTGATGACTGCAGGGAACTCAAATACTTGATTTTACAGCTCATCTGGGTGAAAGCTGGTGTTGCTATTTTCAATGGATCTATAGGAGAATTTCATTTCCATTGCTACGTCTTTCAAACAAAGGCATGCTTCCCTACCTCCATGGAGCAGCAAAGGACAGCGTCTTCCTTCACATCCTGAGATTGCAACAACTGCAAAAGAGAGAAAACAGAGGTGGTGACTGGACTTGTGCGACCTCCTCCTCCTCCCTTACAACTTTTCTTCCACCTCTTAACCCAGCTTGACTTTCGCCACTTCCACAAGAAAAGGAAAGAAAATCAGAAAGAAGGGAACAAAGAGGTTATAAAAAAATTACGACAAACAGTGACAACATGCAGGGTAAGGGGTGTATCACTGACATGTCTGCTGCTGAGAGTGAGCAAGCAGAGCAGAACATAGGTAATTTAGATTAATAGCTTTCAGGGTAAATTTTATTCAGAACAATATTTTTCTCCTGTGGTAGGCAATGAGAAAATGCACTCATTTCACCTATACAGCCGCTAATATGCCATCCTATGACAATATTAAAGCAGTAGAGCCTAGAGAAGCAGCTGCTTCCAAGTGAGCCCTGTCCCACACTCCTGAACCTCTCATTCCCAGTAGGGACCTTCTTCTAACAGCCAGAAAATTTCCTGGTGGGAAAAAAAGCATTACTTCCAATGCACTGCACTAATACAGCTCCTTCTTGACTGATTATATATTGCTGCAAGTGCAATGGCTCCAGTGAAACTATTACATCTTAGGTGCTTAGGATGGTCTCACCCCACAAGCCCCAAAATCATGAGTAAGAGCCCTCAAAACTGGTTCGAAAATAAACTCTTTTTTCATAAAACATGTTTCTTTATATTCACCTTTGTTTCATGGGTTTGTCATGCATATGAAGATACACTTTCAAGCTTTTTGCTAAAACCACAAGAGATAAAGCATAGCTGTTCTGGTTATTTTTCCAAAAGATAAAAATGGAGATTCTCACTTAATCAGCCAACAGTGAGCTGGAACGTTATGAAAAAACACTGTATCATGAGACCGCTGATAAAATCACAGGTGCTGGCAACACTCTTACACTAAACACATGAAGTTAGAGCTGCTTCCACTCCATCAGTCTTACAAATCAGTTTAACTTTTGCACACTCCCAAGTTGGACCTTCATAAAGTCAGTCCTCCATCACCCATGATGACAAGGGCTGTGAGACTCTGTGTAATGGGAAAACTATTTCCAAACATGGGGGTCTGGAGTCTGAGGGCATCTAGGACTTTTTGAAGAGCCAGCCTGGGTCCAGAAGTCGTATTGGCGTTGTCACGTACCACTGCGTGTGAGCTGAACAAGCCCTGCTAGACCAGAGCCAATCCATACCGGTACTGGGGAGCTGAACGTATGCTCTAAAAACGGACAAAACTGACTTCATCAGTATCTGAACTTCATCAGGGAAAGCTAAGCTTTGGAAAGCTGGTTCCACTGATTAAAAAGTGGCCACATACAAAATTGATCAGTGTAACTAAATTTGGTCTGAAGTCATACCTTTTAGTAAAAATAACAGTTCTGATTCTCAGCCTTCTGCTCTCTCTTTCCCATTCTCCTTTTTTTCATCTTTCCTTTACCGTTCAAAGAAATGCCTATTTGTTTACAAAGTCCCCAACTGCTGGGAAAAGCTAGGAAAAAAAGGTAATTTAAAGAATCAACATTGCCCTCAAAGTTTTGTCATCGCTCTTTTCTGTTTTCGGCACACAGCAGTTTGTTAACTTTGAAGATCATGTTTATAGCATCTGGAGGAGCATGTGGTCCATGGGTTTTATCTCACATTAGACAAAGGTTCAGCCAGGGTTCTGAATACATGCAACAGTTCCCCCAAGTTTATCTTTCTGTGCGTTGTTTGGAAAATGTTAGTTAAGCCCAAACTGCATGCTTTGAGATAAGTTCACACAAGCAGTTCACAGATTCTTTGCAAAAAAACATGAGATTAGTTTAAACCCAACAACAAAAAAATTCAATTAGGGGCAAATGTAAACAAGCAGTAACCTAGAAATACCCTCCTTGGATACTCAGCAGACTGGCTTGCTAGCACGGAATGAAATAGGGCTGTAAGTTAACATATATTGGTATCTCTTATTTTTCCTATTCTTTAGTAAAGAACATAATATGAACGTTAAAGCAAGAAATGTGACGTGAAGGAACTTTAACAGTAAAATGACTGCAGAAACTGGTACTCTCCTCCCATGGGTCTATACCACATATGCTCAGTTTACAAAACGGAGGAAGACTTTATAATTGCAGAGGCAATTAGGGAGGACCTAGGACGTCTGGCTTGCAGCTCTTCTTTGCCATAGTCTCCTTGGGTGACCCCGAGTCTGTTGCTGTGACGTCTGGGCCAGGCTGCGAACTTCCCTCGGGCTCTCTTCGCCCCAGTTCCCCAACTGTAGAGGGGGGACACCCTTACCGCCCCTCCTATGAAAGGTGGTGATGAGGATGAATACGCCAAAGGCTATTTGCAACATGGGACAGCCCAGAACTGTCCTCGTGCTACATGGGCACATCAAGGCATTAAGAGATACCAGTCTTGCAGGGTTATAGATGAAGCTGTGCCTGCGATAGCTGGGTCAGAAGACCACAACATGCTCCCCAAACCAAGGTTTGTCCCTGGGTGGTAGAGAAGGTCCCAGCTGGCAGATCTGCTGGTGATTCAGGAACTGAGCAGAGTCAGAGTCCCATGCCCACACATGGCTAGCAGTCTCTTGCACCCTTGCAAGTGAAATGATCCACATCTAAGATGATTGGAAAGATGTCACTCTTCCTCTACCTGTTTCTGGGAGGGTGGGAAAGAGGAAGGAAGGCTGGAAAAACTGCCACTGAAGTAGACAAGTAGAGCAAGGATGTCACTGGCCCTGCAATGAAGGGGCTACATGGGGCCCCTACCATTTCCCCAGCACACCGACAACATTTTGCATGCATTTTTCAAACATTGTTTTGTCTCTGTCCACCCACCCTACTTAACTGCGCTGTAACTATGGGAGCTCTGCTGAAAGCTGCTCCTAGTCACGACCAGGAGGCCGGTACGGGCAGCTGGGACGCTGCGGCTGTAGGCAGGAGGAGGGTGTGGGGCCATCCCCAACGCACCAGAGGACTGAGCTCGCTGTCCTGTTGGAACATCACTGCCAAGGTGGCCGAGCACTGGACTGGGTTATACAGCCAGTGTCCTGCATGGTGGTCCAGCACCTACAGCATTCACACCGTTGCCTCAGGGCTGGAGACCATCAGATACCCTGCTCACTATGCCCGTGCCCTCATATGTTACAGTCAGTCAAATACTTTGTTCCAACAGCTTTGGGATGATAGGCTGTAAGCCCAGCACAAGGACAACTCTTCTCTGCCGTCCTCCAAAGCCCTCATCCCCAGCTGTGTGAAGACCTTTCCCATACTCAGAGCAACCAGGGCAGTGGAGCCGGTCGGGGCTCTACGCACGTACCCGAGTGTGGAAACGTCTCGTGGTTTGCCAGAACGACCACCCCTCAGCTACTGCGGAAATGGCAGTGTTGAAGCCTTGGCACTTATGTGATCAAAATCTGACCCTAAACCAATTGCATTCATCGTCTGCAAGCTAATTTATATTTACCTAAAGTATTTTAAAGTAAGCATTTTATACCCCTTAAATGAGCACTCCCACATCACAATTATTATTTATTTAACTATTTATAACTGCTCCTCCCTGCTGCATTTATCTGCAGAAACTCCACCATGTAAATCAGCCTGTCTTTCTCAAACAGGTTCCCACATCATTCAGACCAGCAAGCGAACGCGGACGAGGGAGCTGAAAAGGAGCGCGAGGCAGATGACAGCACAGGTGAGCTGAGACTCACACGCTTCTTCATTCAACCTGTAATCATCCCCTGGAGGCTCAGGCTGTCTGAGTGAAAACTTCCCTTTGCTCTAGAGTCGGTTCCCTGTATCAAGCGTGGAATGAAAGAAGCAGTTCCTGCTGGAAAGCAGACAAAGAGTCTACTTGATTTCCTAAGAGCAGAGGCTGCATGCCAGAATCTGCCCGGCTGGTCATATAATACCCAAGCTTTGTTGCGAAACGCTTCTCGCTTTTGTTGCTGGTGCTGGACTAACAGCTTTGTAGGCTGGCAGGAGACATCACGAGCTTTCACTTAGACCTCCGCAATGGAGGGCTCCCTCTTCCAAATCTCCCTGTCCCTCTGACAGACGCGGCACCTGGCAGCCTCCTCTGGAAGGCTAGCATGCCCTGTTGGTCTCTGGGTGCTAAATGTTTTCATGGACAAACAAAAATAAACTTCAGGGTCCGTTCCTGCAAATGCTCTGGGGAGTGAGGTGGCAGTGATTCGATGGGAGCTGCAATGCATTTTTCCCAGAATTCACTAGTCCTCCGGGCTCCAGAAGGAAATGGCCCACACCTTCCTCCTAGTAGCCTCAGACAAAACGCCTTCCTCCAGCACTTGTGAAGGCAGTCAAGAATCAAACCCCGACACGTCCCTGAGATAGAGAGATAACGTTCACAACCTTCAAGCATCCCCAGTATCACTGCCAATGCTCTTCATGTCCACTCTGGGCCCAAGCACCTTTCTAGCAAAAGGACGTTAAACTCACAGTGTGACTTCTGACGGGAGGAATCAAATGGGAATTACAACCCAGCTCAAGGCCCGCTATGTCCCTGCAAAGCAGGAGGGAAGCACTGGCTGTACTTACCCTCGTCAGCAGGGTCCACTCCCAGGGAGATCCCCGAGTCCAAGGGCCAAGGAGGGAGAGCAGGGAGGTTCATGTGTGCATGCCAAGTGCAACGGGTTCACATGGCACACCACTGAGCCCCATCTCCTGGGGCCTCTGTGGCACCCTGGTGGCCCCAAAAACCTGATCTTTCTGTCATTGCCCTAGGCGGGCAGTACGCAATGGTGTTGGGGGGGGGAACCAGGTAGCACCTGAGCAGCGTGCAGTGAGGAGGGAGCCAAACTGGGATGTTTCGTCCACATTGCTGTAGCGAATGCTATTGCCCCAGAACCTCCGCTGGGCTTCATCACGGAGACAACCAGACCGTTCCCTCCAGAAGGCAACAGACTGACATACGTTCAGTGCAGACAGCGAGGGGACCAGATCCAGAAGCAAATGGGAGAGCTGAGTTGACAGGGTACCCATAGCCAGGAT